ATTAAATACCTTCACCTGTGACATGAAATTGTGTGTGTGCAATTCTATACAAAAACTGTAACTCTTGTTATGCCATTTTAAGTTTAAAATTAGTTTTTTTTTCCCCTGCCATGACACTGACAATACATTTTCTATATCATGCAACTAAACCTGAATGTATGAGATACACACGCTATACTTTGTAGAACTGTGAAAATGACATTAAAGTTGTGCAGATGTAAAACTATTCTTCAGCCTGAAGGAATTCAACCCTCTGGAGGTACTTTCATGAAAATAACACCAAAGTTACCTGCAGAACAAAGCAACCACTAGACTTTAAGGTTTTCAGAGCAATGTGAGTAAATACAGTGATGTTATGGGTTACCATGCGACGTAGCCTTCTGGTCATAAAATTTTTTTGAAGGAACATTCTCACTACATCTTCAGGGCTGAAGTGAGGAAGGTTAGGAATTGACACGTAACATAGTATTAGACCCAGGACCAAGCCAGGAGCATTAGCCAATCAAAGTGAAGCGAGGGCAATGGGAGACAGCAAAGTCCAGTCCAATGGAAGTTAGAAAGGGTCCTTAAAGGACATGAGACAAACAGGCTGCTATTACAAAAAATGAAACAGCAGCCCTTTTTAAGTATCTCCAGGACAGGACGTTCAAATCGAGAAGACAGTGTCTTGTTCTTGAAGAGAGTCTTATTTTCTTTCAGGATGTGAATAAGAAGCCTAACCCATCAGTTCCTAACCCTCCTTGTTTCAATTCTGAAAATAGAGGTAGCATGTCTAAAAGACTAGAGAACAAAATTACTGTACACAACAACGTAGATACTGATATCTGAAGTATCCACTAAGTTACAGCACACTAACTGTAAAATAAACCACTACACACATGGGCCAAAATGCTGTTTGCAGGTGTCCTACTAGATGAGATCAAACTTACTTCTTGAGAAGGTTAAACCCATTTTAGAATTAGTGTTGGCGAACTTGGCCGAAATATAATTTAATTGAAATTACTGATGATTAAGAAATCTGTAATATAAATTAATTCAAAACTAGTGCCATAACCCCTTATAACATCATACAGATTCATCATGTTCATAATCATATTAAAATATTAACAATATAAATGTGACATCAGTCTCAAATCCTGCACCTGCAAAATGGTGCATAAAAAAACATGAATTGTGTAAATTTTCATTTGACTGCTTTAAATCTGAAGTAAAATTCACACACACAATCTCATAAACAGCCTTAGTTTGTCAAAACAGTAAGATTCAGGAATCCAAACACAATTTGTACATACCTACAACTGGGCAAAGATACGTCCGTATTATAAATTCTTCTCCGGTTACCAGCCGTGTAAGGTGATTAATGAGGCAAACACCAACGTTTCGAGAACCGTCTTCGTCCTCAGGGTACTGTAGATGTAAGAGATCCCATCCGTACTCCGTCTACCTGAACCAGTTCCCTGTTATTGGCTGCATGTAACCCGAGAGTCTTTCATCAACTTCAGTCACCGCGAAAGCTTCACTTTATACATAAGACAAGTCTTGTCTAACATGACGGTATTGCTGAAGTCAATGTGATGTCCAGTGCTTATGCTGTTCTCCGCAAGAGAGACAGGGGTTTCTCAAACCCGGTAGCAAACACGTTATCCAATCGGAAAGCTGAGCTAAAAATAGCGAGCACGTCACTCTGCTAACTCACACGGAACAGGTTCGGATACACAGAGCACGGACGGGATTTCCTACAACTACAAAGCGTTGGTGTTTCCTTGCTGGTAGTCCGAGAATAATTTATTGTACTTAGTCGCCGTGACAGCTTCTGAACATACATACTTCTGTATTTATTACATATGATAAAAAAGCCTGAAAAAATAATTCCACAGACATATCAGGAACTCACATTATGAAACCATAACGTTACAAACACAGTGTTTCCTTCTTTATAATACAGTACTTGGATAAAACCGTAAACATCAGTGTACATGCTGACGTACGGGAAGTTTAATTCAGCTGGTGCCCGTGTCTATTTTTAAAAGTGATAGTACCAACATACTGATAGCTCAAGTAAAGTAACTGTGCCTAAAAACTGCAGTTACCACAAGGCATGAATTATGCACTAAACTGTACGAGACAATGATTGAAACCATGTGACCAGTACTTTTTGTACGTGGTTTACAACCTGAAATATTGCACTTCAGTAATTGTTTACCATTAACCTTTATCAAACAGGAACATAGGAATTAAATCCCCATATTATGCAGTTGTCGGTCACACTTTCAACTCTGAGGTTAATAATTTAGTGGACCAAGTGTACACTATGCGGCACGGACAATAAAAGTTAACGAGTCTTATTATGTTCTGTACATACAAAATGGTAATCAGCATAAGTACATATAAACTATGCTGTACTGGACCAAGGTACAACAAGAAGGAACACTGTAATGTAATGCCACACGCAACAGATTCACAAACACAGAAAATTAAGTTTCGAGCTTGTGGGGAAAACATGATGAACGCTTATGAACAACCCATGATAGCTGATAACCCTTCAGCTAATGAGGAAATTAAGGCAAATAAACTGCTTCAATGTAATTTGTAAGAGTTCTAACTCGGCGGCCTAGAGAGTGCCAAGTCCTAAATGACAGAATTAAAAATTATACCCTTTTTTATTCAACCTCTTCTGGAAGTATGTTATTTTATTATACATAACAATTATTGTAATAGCAGTTCATCAGTATGCAACAATATTGTTATTATGTTCAGAATATTATGTATATAATACCTGTGGTAAAAAATTACAACATAAAGACACAAATTTTATAGCATAATTACCACATATAACCAATTTGGTGTTCCTACGTGCTCCTAGTGGTTACAACAGATTACATCATAGTTTAAAAGGTAAAATTGGCATAAAGCACATTCTAACAACATTTCTCTTTCAGACACGTCAACAACACTGACAGAACTTAAACGATAAATCGGCCATATCCAAAACGGAAAGACAACAGATAGTCGCAACAAGGTTGTGAAATGTTTCTATTATGGCACACACATACCTGTGTTTGCTACCCAGAAGTGTCAATGAGTTTAGTGAAGGAGGCTTTCTTGCATACTATCTTGTAAATTCATAACTGAGAAGTAAATGCTTCATCAAGGCATTTGTACAGGAAGACAGGGACGTCAGAGCACTAACACAAATGCGAGGAGACAGCTTTCGAATTTTCATTTATATGAGGGCCAGATTATATCCTTACATTCTCAATTACGTTAGTTTCTGATTGAGATTTCTGCCAGAAAAAAATTCTGAACTTTTTTCAATTATAGTGTTCCTTCAGAACATTATTTTTAAAAGCACCCTGACTTTGCCCACCTTTATTTTATACACCATTATTATGTGTCTGTGCTCTCGGAGAATATTTTACATCACAAAATTAGAAAATTCCAATGTGTTTAATAAATATAAATATTAGCGTATGTATGTATATATATACATATTACTCAATGTATATAAAGGCCTGCCTTGATAAATTTAGAAGCTGCGTTCCTGGGTTATTCATTGGAGCAAAATAGCATAATTAAAATAATAGTCAAAAATAAATAAAAGCAGAACATGTCACATTCAGAAAGGGTGGAGAGAAAAAAATGTAGGCTAATTTGTATTACATTTCTAATAAACACACACCTAACGAAAAAAAGCTGAGAAACAGAAGCCCTCTGTTTCAAATCTGACTTAAATTTCATAGTAGCGTATCAATATATCATCTTCCGTTTCATATCAGGTAGTCATTTTGAGGTACAGAAACGAAACTACATTTCAACTATACAGTGAAAAAAGAAGCAGAAAAATATTAAAATACAAAGATCCACTGCCACAGTTCATGTGAAATATAAAATATAAAGATGAAAATTACTGATGCAACTAAAACTTCATCATAATCATTAATAAAATCATCTTGGGCTATCGGCCATGTCAGTTGGTTCAAAATCACTGACGTTTCAAGGACCACAGATGGTCCCTGAAACATCGGTGATTATCAACCAACCGACATGGCTGATAGCCCATGATTATTTTACTACTAGCCACCATGAAACCTTTAGATCATACTTCATCATAATAACTTCATAAGTATTTACATGGCATCCCTGGTAAACATTCCAACATGAAACTAAAGCTATTCTGGAAACAGCACACACCTTAAGGAATATGTTTGTAATTTATACCTGTATTTATTTAGTGATTCAGGCTGGGGCCACACGACCGTACAAAGTACGTCCGTCGTAACGCGCATCGTGACGTCCGTCATAGAATTATGAAGGGGCATATAGGGTACAACACACGAATAGTGCCACATACGAGGTTATCTCATTAAGGTTATCCTATCAAATTAATTCTGACAATAGTATCTTAAATGTAAACATCACGTAACTCTATGAATTTAAATACAATCCTGCTTCTTCATTCAAATTCCAAATTTTATCAAACATTAAATATACGTATGAAAAGTCTATGTTTACACTTTCAGCAGTTTTGAGAGCCAAATCAGTGCAATGAATTTCAAATTTTCTTCTCTCAAATATAAGATTCCATTAAAAAGTAATAAAATGTGTTAACTACTGAAACAGGGATTTTGATGTCCAACTTCTGTCAACTGCTATGTTACTGTTGCTAAATCTGAAATATACGAAAAAGGAAACCGGACTGCAGAAAAATTGCACACTGAACAAGAAAGTCAACCAGTTCATTAGCGGTTTTAGGGTTTATGCATGTGTTCCGGAAGCAAATATAAAAGTGAATTACATGGAAACATTCAAAAAAACGTTCCTTACACACAAAACAGAGGAGGGATTATTCTGATGCATATAATATTCTAGTACCTCTTTTTAATACACCTAGATATCTTGAAGGTCGGGGTCAGTGACATTTTAAAAACAACTTTCTTACTACAGAAAAACTATGCAACGATCATAATTCAACAACTTGAATCAAAATAGCCCCAGTGATTCATAAGTCTCTTAAGTTTACACAACATTTCAATTCTATCAGTGTCCAGATGTCTGAAAACGACCATTAAAGAAACGGCACTTAATTACATTAAATGCAATTTCTTCAAACATTTACTTGCAGAATAATAATATATATTTAAGTAGTGCAGAAATCATACTTAAGATTAGGTATCTTCAACATTTAGAAGATTATGCAAAAAATAATAACCATAACAGGATTATATACATTTACAACTATACCAAGGAGGTATCAGGACATAATATTAATAATTTCTCTTAGCATATCACATTTTGCAGCCCCTATTAATAAGAGTTAGTATTTAATTATAAACTATGTAATATAACTTCTCCAATAAATCAACAAGAACTTACTGTAAATTTATAACTTTCAAATATTTCTTCAAACTAGTCATGGCAGTATTTTGCTAACAAATAACTTTTCGTTTGTAATGTAACATTTTGTCATACTCTACAACTAGTGTAAATTACGAATATACCAGACAAGCTGCTGTTACATTACTTGTTTACAAACTTGTTAGCTCAGCTTGAGTCAAACATCTGTTAAACTAATGACGTTGCATTACTGACGTTATGCATAAAATCTTTTTAACATCAAGCAGGTATTAAGATTATTTCCCATGCTGCACTCCATTTACCCCTAAGTCACTATGTGAATAAAGCTCTCAATATTATTACTTTTGCACACAAATTCTTTCTTTTTACTATAGATCTTTGCATATCTACCTACATTTACGCATATATTGTATGTCTCTTCAGTCAGATTCACTGTTACATAACACAAACAAATGCATTTAGAACCATATGGTACAAGAACTCACTCAACTTAAGTAGGAGATTCTGGTTGAAAGTAGCGCAAGCCATTCATCTGAAAACAACAAAATATTATAAACATTAAAGATACAGATCTCAAAATACAAAGTCCAAATACAACAAATATCCATATCACAAAAAAAAAAAATGCACAATAATTCAAGTTTTCAAAACTGTTATCAGTAAATTACATTTCCTTCATCACTATCCACAGTTAACGCTTCCAGTTCTTCTACTGACGCGTCTAATACTGTGTCAAGTTCAAAGGTAAAAATAGCATTAACAATTACAGAATGAATTTAATTGTGAATTGGTGGTAATAATGTATTTACCTCCACGTGATTCAATTCAAGTATTTCACAAATATAAAAAACAGATATTATTTTATCTACATAAACTGCAGTTCTATATTTACAAAAATTAAAATCTTTCTACAAAAATATAAAATTAATTCTATAATTGCAAAAGGATACAAAAATAATATGTGAGAGGAAACTTACTGATATAAATATACACAAACAAGTTAATAAACTAATCACACTGCAATACAGAATGTAATGAAAAGTGTGCCAATCAGTTTCTGATGCACATCAAATATTTAACAAGTAATGTAGCATTTCTTGTTTTCCTGTTCTCTAAAAACCACATACAGGCAACTCTCGATTTACAAACAAGTTCCGTTCCAAGACGTTGTTCGTTATGTGTATCTTGCATTCCTAAGCTTTCACAATACGTATCGCATAAGTTATCAGCCATTTTGAAGCATTAAAACCATGTAATAAACATCGATTGGTCTATACAATATGTTATATTATAACGCGTTATGTGAGAAAACATTCTACGTGGCGTGGCATGTAAACCAACATTTTTTCACTGGCTAGATTAGTTTTATTAACCAAGAACAGTTCAGTATAATTATCATATAATAATTTTCTGATAATTATTGTAATAAATTTAAATCTTACAATTATGTTCACTATAAGTTTGGCATTTCATTCTATAAGGAACTCTACCTATTGGCGAATTTAAGAAAGTTTGAACAAATTGTGACGTTTGTTATAGCAAATGTTCATAAAGCAAACGTTCGTAAACCGACAGTTGCCTGTAATCTATATCGAGGGCATTGCATAGTTGGAGATATAAATGATCTAACAACATACACGCCAGAAGGATGTAATGCTTGCTTATCCTACCGAGACAGTTACATTTGGGCATACAAACACTAAGAGTGCACATTTGTCAAACAAAATACGCATAATAATTTAGTCCCCTGCATGTCAAGTCATTTTACTGATACGTCCCGGCATGATGCCCTCAATATCCGTTCGGTACTTGTTACTTCGCAAAAATACTTACCGACATGTCGTACTCAGTAATGTAAGCTGGAATCTCCAGCTGATCAGGAGACATTACACTATACAGGTATTCAACTCCGGGCAAGCTGTGCACTTTATGTTTTATAGCTGGTGCCATGAATGTAGTGAACCACCATGTCATCATCTGAAAAATTGAGATGTAACTTGCACGGCTCACACGGAAATTTATTAAGGGACTAACAATGCCACACCAAACAAACTATTCTTCAGCAACATCATTTAACCTCTTCACACCACATCAAGAGTTCTCGACCCTTAGCTTGTAGGCCACATGCAGCCTTCTAATTTTTTTTATGTTGTCCGTGTACATATATCTGAGACATTAAACATTTCAAATTGTTCTTTTGAACTTGTACATTGTCTAAATTACCATAAAATTACACATCAAAAACCGGATCATGATTATGATAATAGTGGTGGTAGTGATTATTACAATTTGCACATATAATAAACATAAATTTTCAGATTTTTATGTGATGTATATGCATACCTTTGTCCAAAATGTAGGATGAATGATATAAAAGGCTTTGAGATTCTTCTTATATCTGAAAAAAAATAAATGGGGTATCATTAAACCTACAATAAAACCAAGATTGGAAAGTCACAGAATCCATACAACTGTTCTTTGCTCTAAAATCAAACTGTACTCTTCTGCCATAAATTCTTTAAAACAGAGATCAAACATAAGTCACTTTTTATTTTAAATATTCAAGTACCAGTATAGTCTTACCACATTAAAGTATAAACTGGGTATCAGCACTAAGAAGGGTTGAATGTATCAATGCAAGTACATTCTGATATTCATTTGTTTACAAACAAAAGAGGAAGGTTAAGAATGTAAAGTTACATTCAGAAAGGCACACTACATCAAATTTTTCAATAAATTCTTTATGTAAGCATACCGGCGAGGCAAATAAGAGAATTTTCTACTTTTAGTGTGATCAGTGCACTAAGACATAGTCCTTCAGCCAGGTGCGTCATCGCTGCAAATGACGTATGTAAATCTTTGGACGTATTTCGCATAAACATTGTCTCCCTTGAGGGCACGTTCTCAATAAGGGAAATGATCTAGATAGGTTGTCTTGTAGATGAACTAGCTTCGTTATCTGTTTTTTTATATTCTTTAAAGTTTTACAATTATATTAGTGTTCCCTAGGTGGATTATTTGTTTTTATTTATATTTCTTCATTTTTTGCTCTGTGTTAATATTGTTTCTATTTTGGGTTTGCCTGTACTTGGCAGTTACATTTAATACTGAACATGTATAAGTTTAGTTAATCCGTTTGTTTACTATTATCCATTATTATTTCATTATTATTGTATGTATTATCTGTGTTTGCCTGTTATTGGCTTCTTGCTGTTGGCAAACACGTAAATAAATTAATTGAATTGAATTGAATAACCGCACTTTCAGCACATTCAAATATGTAGCTTAATTGCACAGAAGTGAGGATGCCTATTAAAGCAATCATGTAATTATTTAATTATTATGTTCTTATTGCCTAAAATGGTTCAAAAGTGTCATTTTTTTTAGATTTCTGTTTTAATGAAACTTCTCATATCGACAACTGCAATCCATGCACTTACAAATGACAATTATTCCATTCCACATGTTATGAAAATATGTACACAACCTTCTATTTTTCATTTAAGTGGTAGAATTATTCAGTAGAGCTTTTCCACAGTAATAATTTAATGTATCATCTAAAATAAACACTTAGATCAAAGATACGACGAAAACACCTGAAAGGTCTGAAGCAGCGGTTGACAAACTGAAAACAGACGTATACGCAAATAGGAAACGTTCGTCTCGTTACTAGGGTGAAAAAATACATCATCATTAAATTTAGCAGCTTTACGAGTTAAGAAAACGTACTGGATGCAAAGAGATAGACAAAATTAATTAGTTTTGCCGCAATGGAAGCAAACCTAAAGTCAAAGCAAGAAGGCAAGATAGCAGAAAATTTGGACAATAATTCACAAGTGAAATACAGAATTAAACATAATTTCTTGGCATACCACAGAGAAAATTCCTACATACAGGCCTCAATATTGTAACAACAAAAAATTACAGTAAAAAGAAATTGTTTCACAGAATAATGAAAAACAAAACATAAGATGCAAATAATAAGAAGATCAACGGAACACCTACTATAATAATCTACAAAACAAATATAATAAATGGAAAACTTGCATTAAAAATATAGAGTACTTTTAAAGATAAAAAACCTGAAGATGATGCTATGCATTGAAACATGTAGTAGTATAAAGCGCAATACTGTAACATCGTAATAACGATGAATAGCGCAAAATATCAATATTAATTTTAATTTTAAATTTTAACATCAACAATTTAAAGTTTGTGTATAGACTTGAATTATATTATATATTTGAATTTTAAAACACAAACATGACGCACTTAAACTATAAATTTTAAAACAAAAACATGACGCATTTAAACTATTAAACTATAAAAAGAAATGGTCTGACCAGATGTGATGCAACACGATACACAAAAAGTGATGGGAGTTAGTGGGAATTTAATGACTGTGTCATTTACAGGTAATGAGGCACGAAGACACGTGAATAATGAAATGGGACAGACAGTTGAAGAAGCAGATATGGTCTGTTAACGTAATGCCCCACGAAATCCCGGAGGGACTAAGGAAAAAAAAAATAATAATTATATAGCCAATTCTCACAACAGAATATCAGAATGCAAAGGCAAGATGAAAACCTTTAACAAAATACATCCATCGTGGTGCCTTGACAGTATATGGATAGCAAAAGGACAATTTATGAATCAAAATGACTGTCTGAACAAATAAATGACCTCCAATATTTTAATTCTAAGTACTTCAAGAGCTATATGACAAATTAATTAAATAAACAAAGATCACCACTTTTAACCACTTAAGATTTGATTATGAGTGGTTTCAAAGCTTATCTTCAAAAGCCACATGATGACTCAAAGGTTAATTTCGTGAACACTCCTATTAAAGAAAATGTAGGCGAGTGAATACTTCTACTGCGGTTCGTAACACAGACACAAAAATGAAACAATGACTTCTTTTAAGCAACATAAATATGTACATAAAGCATTATTTTGCGTAAAAAAATTATTAGAGAAGTTCATAACGCGTTTCTTAATTAGAAGTTCCGAGTTCAATACAACTTGCAACCATCCAACATTCTTCCTGTAGTAAAACATTCACGAAATATTCTTATCTTTATTAAATTACAATATTTAACTCACTTGTATGGCAGAATATTATATACTTCTCGCAGCCATGTGAAGGATGGATGATTTGCATTAGTTGTTAAGGTGTGGAAGTAAGTTATTACATAGTCACTCTTCACCAAAGGATCCAGCAAGTAGATTAAATATAACAACGCCTGTAGACAAAAAACACAAATTGGTGAGATTTCAGGTTCAGATGGCAGTGAATATGAAGATGTGCCATGCAGTCTCACAGAAACTGACCAATGTTTCTGAGGTGCCTGCTGCCACCATCATCAGGGCAATGAGTAGGCCATGCATGAAAGGAAGGTTGAGGTACAGGAACAGGAAGTAAGGAGTATCCTTCATTTTCCATTATTTCTGTTTATTTCCTTACCTTGTTCTTTCCTGTCCTCATCTCACATATTTTATTTTCACTGCTTCCATTTGCATAAAAATAGTGGAATAAATTATAATTTAATAATTATACAACCATCGTATTGTATAATTTCCGACAGTATGGGATTCTACTACCTGAAGTTAAAAAGATAACTTCAGAATTATATTCTACCAGGAAACATTCCATAAAATACTTGTAAAAATTTCCCCAGATTATGTACTGCACTACAAATGCATGCCTTGTTAATTTTAACATTAGATGGAGGTGAGTGGTCAGTTTGACCACTTCAACTGCTTTATCCCCAAAAGAAGATGGCTGGGTGAAACCCAGACTTGGTATGGACACGGCGGTAAACAGAGAAATCTCCGCTCCTGCCAGGAATCAAACCCCAATGGAACACTTTTTCTGTCTTTCACGCCAGTACTGTAAGAACCTCTAAAAAATCAGTGAAATTGTCAACTGCCACTCGATTGTTTCCACACCATCAAATCTTTTAAGATTTCTTCTATATTATCAGAGACACGGTATCAGTCCTGATATGTTTTAATCAGACCTTGAAAAAAAAATGAATAAATATCTTTGGAGTAATGACTGTATTTGACATTCCTGAAAACAAACGGTAAGGTCACTGATAAAGTGCAGCCACTAGGTACATCACGTATTGATATTCACTGCTGGTTAATATTAGAAACAAGACGCTAACTCTCATCTTTCATTAAATCATGCTACCATTAAATATCAAGTTACTCCCATATTGTATATCAGAAAAGGGGAATACTGTAATTAGAATATGTAATAGAATAATAGTCAGCAAAGTAACATGAGATTCCTGTAAAATTTTAATACAGAAGCATACAATGAACAGGCATGCATAGTATATTCCATCAACATCAGATCCCTTCCCCTCAAACTAATAATATCAAGAAAATATATATTTTATTACCCACATCCATTGTCCAAAATTAAATTGCTGCCTCCATCATAAGGGTGGATGGAGGCAGCAAGGACCTCTGAAATGTCAATGAACTTCTACCAGACAACACGGCGCTACGAGCCAGAAGACAGCCATCTTCAGACTCACCTTCATGAAAACCTCAAATCCTACATAGGAAATAATATCTTCTCCTTATGCACTTCATGCAAAGAATACATAACAAAATATCTTAACTCAAACATGTATTTACCAGCAATAAACATCCTCTCACTGACATGCCGTCATATCAACACATCAGCATGTGAATTACAAGTAAATGAGATAAAGCAGTTTAAAAAAAAACAGTGTGTGGTTAATAAACAGTACTGTTACCTTGTCAAGACTAATTTCCCTGAACGGAAACCACTTCCCAACAAACACTATCACAGGTCTTCCAAATCGATCATATCCACTCTGGTAGAGGCACCCAATGCCAGATACTTCTGACAAATCTTCAGTTTTGGCACGGCGAAGCAGACGTTCATATCTGCAACATACAAACCAGTACTTGTATTTACAATATTATTTTTATTTTAAACATCTTTAAAAAACAGGTGAAAATAACTAAATCACTCATTCATTACATGGTGAAAAGTTGGCAGTTACTCAACTGGGCCAAAAATTCCCTGGTTTTAATGAAACCCATGACTCATTATCATGTTCATAAATGCCCAGATGGGGCCCTATACTGACCCAGCAAAATCTATTCCTTTCACTCCATTTGAATAATATCCTTCCACCTAGACACTTGTTTTCCTGGCTAAAACTCTGTATGCATTTCTAATGTTCCTTCTGAATGTTACATGTCTCATAGTCCTTGATCTATTAACTCTAATGTTAGGTGACGAGTACAAATAATTAAACCTGTAATACATCCAACCGATCATAAACACAATGTTCTTCAGTGAACTTCCTCAGATATGAAACTGTTTGTACCCTTCACTAGAACATTTATAAACTTGCTCATTTGTAGAGAACGCTGCATTCAAAGCATCTGCAAGCACAAATTAATCATGTCGGTACACACCTGCTGGAAGGTATGTCGTTTGCTCAGCCATATTTCTTAACAAAGGCTCAATATATCAAAGAAAGGATCGTTACATAACACATCTCATAAGATACTTTCAGTTAAATAATTTTTGAGCCAACAACTTAGGCCTTAAACTCAGCATGTCATACATTTACAGCTTTACAGAATGGTATATCAAATCAGTTTAAACAAAATACCATGAAGGCCTACATACAGCAACACCCTTTATTGACCAATATGATCCAAATATATAACATTACGGTACGCTAAAATTTATGCCTATTTTTTGTTACATGCTTAAATCTGTATTGAAAGACCCAACACACATTATAAAGCAAACAACTAAACAATGTAATGATCCACTTTTATGAATCATTTCCACCAGTAGTGATTTTCAACGCACGAAAATTAAATAACTTTCACACCTCTGCAACATTTGTAAATTAACTGAATGATTCCCTTGTTTATCTTTCACACTGAGTTCATTAGGACTGTTAGCTACCATGTTTCTGCATGCATGCTAATATCAGTAACTCTGTCCCGAAATGTATTCCATTCCTTTCTGACATTCAATTCTTACTTACACATGAGTCTAAAATGAAATTTCAGAATAATATTCAACACAGCGAAATAGAAATAATTTCTATAAATATTTCATTAATTTTTTTATAAGAATGCAAAATATTTCATTCCATTTATGCAGCAATTAATAAGGAACATATTTTAACAGAAGAGTCCACAACATTATCTACGTGACTATTAGCAGATGCCACAGTTCTCAAGTATATTTGTCCAAATTGCTCAATTAAGAAAATAGATAACAGAGAAAAATGTCATGAAAACAATACTTTTCTTTCAAGTTAACTTTCTTGCTCATTTACTCTAAAGAAAAGGGCAAATCAAGTATTTTGGCTGATTCATCTCGGTTCAGTCGTGCAAAGAAGTGAAGTGATCAGTCACTCAAGTCAATGAGTCACATCAAAATGGGTAATTAGCTATTCAGCAAACAAAGCCTAAGGAATAGTGGACTCACTTGGGACAAAAACCACAACTACACTGTGAAACCACAATAAAATAATCACAGTTAATTGCTCGACAATAAATCGTAGCTATTCTCAACATATTGTATCTTCTGTTACATAGTTTATTTTTCATTTAAAGGTACACACAATTATTATTTATTAACAGCCTTGGTTTTCCATGTAAACAGTATAAATATCACTTGCTGACCTAATAAATAAACCAACAAGCAACAAAAACTTTTTTCAAAATTTAATTTTAATCAGTTCACGAAACAGTATCATTCGAGTGAATGGGAAAAATCTTTTGGAAATTCAGTTACTCGAGTGATTTGATTATTAATGAATCAGTTTTTCTATGAGTAATTTGCAGCTGTTCAAGAAGTTAACACACTGTTACGGAACACAAAAGTTCATTCGCACCAACATACCACTCACTGGCCCTTATTCCGATCCAGTTCGTATGCATACAGCCTACTTTTCAAAAATATATTTTATCTGTACCCTCTCTTCTATACCAGAGTCTACCAAATGGTTTCTTGTTACATTAATTTTAAACCAAGGTCATAGAAGAATTGTTTTTAGGTCAATTATAATCAAACTACCTTATATGAGTACTATTTAATTTCCATATAAACTTCCAAAAGATAAAACAGTACATTATAATGTATCACAAGTTTAAATAAAGAAGAAAAAATACATATTGTCAGATACAAAGAAGAATTAACCTGTATCAAAATAATTACCCGATATCTGAATCCAGAAAAGAATCGACTTGACCTTCATTAGGCACTGAAAGTTCTGTCTGCTGGTGTTGCAAAACTGTGAACATGTTGCCTGACTGCTGTCTCACACTGTTCTACTGTTACAATCAAACTGTGCATCACCTATAACCACCTCTAACCACACAGCAGCTAGTAATCATGTGATCATTCTCCATGACATGACAGTGGCCTACTTTCATATTGGTTGTCATGCTTTCTTCTGCAGTAAAACCAGTTTTCAGTAATACAATCACTTGTCTTGTTAGGTAATAAAGCATGCTCTGTAAGGTGAGAACATCAAAATGGATCTAATGAAACCGTGTCCTATTGGAAAATTAGAAGAAAAGTGACACTTGCCACAATTTAAATGACCAGACCATCTTACGTAAAATATTTCTAGTGTACACTCACTACTTATTAATTTATTTAGAATAAAATTTGTTTGTGTAATTATGGCAAAAGTTTGCTTGTATATCTGTTCATTAACTTCTCTCATTTCACTCATCACTTCCTCCCACACCCTTTCTTAGCTTTCTCTCTCCCACCATTTTCACTTTTTTTTTGCAAGTATCAAAATTAATATCTGTCGACGCTGCTGCCACAATATTACTTTCTGGTACACGGTATTCCATCCTGAAGTTAGCATGTCAGCCGTGCATCAAAGGGCTAACTAAATCTTTACATACTGACAAGGGAACTGCATGTCCACAATTACGGGAATGTAGCCCGTATATACATTGTTAATTAAATTAAAAGTCACATCATACCTAAAATAAGTAGGAAATCTAAGTCAAATAATTAATTAAACTTAGGGCCTGAAATCTGATATATGAAGTAGAAATTCAAATAGTTGATTAACCGAATGAACACACGTGGTTTTCAAAGGAAAACAAGCGTGGGGCACAGAGACTAGAAGGGGAAAGTCTATAATTTTGTAATTTGTGCTTCACAATTCCATATATTAGACAAGACTGACTCTCACATCACATTAAATTGACATTCAACCAAACTTGTGTGTGTGTGTGTCTGTGCGCGTGTCTCCTTGTTTCAGATGATCGAATACAGCTTTTATTTTTACGAGATGATAAAGTTGCGTCATATTGTGATATAATAAATATATATTGTTTAAATCTTGTCAGTCTAATCACAATAAAATTCCTATTAAATATTAAAATATTACTATAATTAACATTTAAATATTTAAAATATATTAAAATGTTAATTATAGTAATATTTAAAATATATTAAAATGTTAATTATAGTAATATTTTAATATTTAATAGGAATTTTATTGTGATTAGACTGACAAGATTTAAACAAATATTTAAACAAATTTTATTTTTACATTATGCAAACTGCAAAATATACTGCATTATTATTCCAAATTATCACTCAAATGAGAGCTGTCTCTAAAGGTTTGTGAAGAGAATAAATACTCAGAAGATAACAGGTGTACAAATTCTTGTGGTTGTATTATAATGAGTGTTAGCAACCTTGAATTCAGTACAATAATTGAGATCTTATCTAATGTGTATGATACAATCTCTGTTAAACAGTATCAATTTCAGATTACATCTTAGATAATTACAATAATACTCTTATTAAAGATTTTTCTATCAGATAACATATCTACACATTAATGTAAGAGAAACATTAAAGACAGAAAATTAATAATTTATATAAGTGAGCAGGGAAAAAATTCTTAACACTTTAAATAATAATTAAGAAATCAGTCTGTACCTCAAGGAGAACTTTAAAATGACAAAAATCAACTGTTTTATGCTCTTTAAGAAAATAACACTGTTTGCACTGAGGATCATACAAAACCCATAAATACAAACTGCAGTGTTATTCATTGTTAAATCAGATGGTGCATAATTGGCTTTAAATGTTATTTATAAATTAAAACTGTGGCTTTTTATTTTTAACAGAAAAACACTGAGCCTTCAAGAAATGAAAAATGTAATAAAATGTACTTAAATAGCACACAACAAGGATCTTTACCCCTTAAAGACCTGCAAGTTACTCAGTACTTAAATCAAGATTTTGAGAAGATGGAAATGTAGCTCAAATGGGGGAGATGAGAAATTTTCTACAATTCTGGAAAGTGCCTACTTAAAATCTGAAAAGTAGATGGGGAGAATAACATTAAGATGAATATTACATAAATCATCATTTCTGTACACAATTTCCACTTCTGCATATTCTGACTATGTTGCCCAATACAACTAAATGAGTAACTGAGTAAATACATGCATGAAGCAGAGTCCTTCCAGAAAAACTGAAAGTATGCCCTGCTAGTCAAAACATTCCCTGCCTTTTATAAAACCAAATGCTTCAACAGCCCACAGAAACCCGAGAACAATTAAAAGATTATGCGATATCTGAAAATTGGCCCATCAGGCATAACACTGAATAGGATAAAGCCGATTACAGTTACGAGATAATTATTTTGGGTAATATGAACTACTGAGAGTTCGCCCCCTCAAATTCAACCCTGTTTCAAAACACAATTTTTTTAACCTATGAACTAAACTGAACATAAATTGACTCAATCCCTTTCAAAAATGTATTTTAACATTATGAAACACATTATTCATCAAACTCACTATGAATGTGTGTGATACTTAGTATATAGCTACACATTTAATAAACAGCAGAACTTTTCCCAGTATTATACCTTTCATCCAAAGACAACACCATTGTGCACTTCTATAAAAAATCAGATAAAAATTTGTGGTTAGTCGTTGTCTTCAAGAAATGACGTCATCAACAATGTCAACAGAACACAACAATGCCGAGTAAACAAATACCGCTTCACTACCAAGCCAGTCGCATTATCACTGCTCCAGAACCAGCAGACCGCATTCTTGAATATTGACTGACAGTTGGCCTAAAACATCAGAAAAGTAAAAGAAGACGTTATCAAGTATTTGAAGTACCAACTCCAACAAGGTAAACTGATACTCATTCGATATATTACGATTACGAAAACTATTATGATCGATTTTAAGACGAAGATTTGCAGGGGTGGGGCTGGACGTAAAAAGTTGACTGACCAAGAACAGTTGGCCTCTGAACAGCGACGTAAAGAACTACAACATCAGACCTATTTAAGAAATAAAGAAAAGCGAAGGAAGACTTACATCGATAAACGAGACCATATTAACGACACATGTAGAAAAACAGACGAAGATTTGCAAGGGTGGGGTTGGACGTAGAAAGTTGACTGACCAAGAACAGTTGGCCTCTGAACAGCGACGTAAAGAACTACAACATCAGACCTATTTAAGAAATAAAGAAAAGCGAAGGAAGACTTACATCGATAAACGAGACCATATTAACGACACATGTAGAAAAACAGACGAAGATTTGCAAGGGTGGGGTTGGACGTAGAAAGTTGACTGACCAAGAACAGTTGGCCTCTGAACAGCGACGTAAAGAACTACAACATCAGACCTATTTAAGAAATAAAGAAAAGCGAAGGAAGACTTACATCGATAAACGAGACCATATTAACGACACATGTAGAAAAACAGACGAAGATTTGCAAGGGTGGGGTTGGACGTAGAAAGTTGACTGACCAAGAACAGTTGGCCTCTGAACAGCGACGTAAAGAACTACAACATCAGACCTATTTAAGAAATAAAGAAAAGCGAAGGAAGACTTACATCGATAAACGAGACCATATTAACGACACATGTAGAAAAACAGACGAAGATTTGCAAGGGTGGGGTTGGACGTAGAAAGTTGACTGACCAAGAACAGTTGGCCTCTGAACAGCGACGTAAAGAACTACAACATCAGACCTATTTAAGAAATAAAGAAAAGCGAAGGAAGACTTACATCGATAAACGAGACCATATTAACGACACATGTAGAAAAACAGACGAAGATTTGCAAGGGTGGGGTTGGACGTAGAAAGTTGACTGACCAAGAACAGTTGGCCTCTGAACAGCGACGTAAAGAAGTAAAATAACAGATAGACAGAGAGGGGTTAGTTTAGTGTGTTACTTAAGATTTTAAAACACAACCAAACCCCCCGAAGTCAAGTGTTTTAACCCTCCATTCGGGGGGGGGGGGGGTGGTTTGTATTATAATTTAATTTGTAAGACTTGAGGTTCTCACAGCGGTGAATATGAAGATTTCTGTCTTCTGGGTTATTGCGCTGTGTAGTCTGGTCGATGTTAACCAACGTTTCAGAGGTCATACTGCCTCCGTCATCAGGGCGATGAATGAATTCATTTATGTCCAAATAAAAGACAACAAGAAACCATGTAAAATATAAAGACACTTGTACATAAAAAGTAATAAATTACAGCGTGGGGAAAAATTATGGTCCTCTCACGCCAGTAACCCACGAAAAAGATATCCTTTAAATATAAAGACATCTGCTTAAAACAGACTTGTATTCCTAATGCTAACGCCAGTGTTGAGATATTTTTTCTTTAAAAAATATACAGTGAAAAACAAAATATGCAATGTGAGAGAGTAATTCCAGAAGCAGACCGAACTACTATCATACAACACAAATTACTTACACTATGATCATAAAATTATGTAAACAAAGAGTTTTAAGATAAGCCTCAACATACTGCTCAAGCTTTCTACTTCCTGTAAGACAGTCATTAATGTGTACGTGTACAAAATAAAACCACATCCTCATCTTTTCTTACTGCGTACTCCTTTCAGAATCTCCTTTGTCTTTCAAAATATCAACTTTAAATTTCTCTCATAATTCACTGTTTTTATCTAAACAAATATATCATTTTTTATGTCTTAAAAATTCCCTTTTCTGCTGCTTCTAGTCTTCTTCAGTCATTGTCATCCATTATGTTCACGTTCGACCATATTTTACCACTAGTTTAACCAATATTTTGAATAATTTCAAACATTTACTTCCTGGCACTGTCTTACCACAGTGTCCATAAATTACTCCACTCACACGCATAATGATTAAATTTTATTTTCCAAATTTCTATCAAACCTAAGTTTATTAGATTTCCTACCCAACCAACTAGATGGCTTAGGGAACCCGAAGGTTCATCACCGAATTAACCAAAGCCCTCCACCGGACCCTGTCCTGGGCCAACAAAATCCAGTCTCCTTCAACTCCTACCTCCCATAGATCCCGCCTGAGATTATCCTCCCATCTACGTCTAGGTCTCCCCAGAGGTCTCTTCCCCTCAGGCTTCCCAACCAATACCCGGTGCACACCTCTTGTCCCATCCATGCGCGCTACATGCCCAGCCCATCTCATTCTTCTCGACTTAATCACCCTGACAATACTGGGGGAGCAGTACAGATTTTTAAGCTCGTCATTGTGCAGTTTTCTCCAGACCCCATCGTCTTCACTCCTAGGCCCAAATATCCTCCTCCACACCCTGTTCTCAAACACCTGCAATCTGTGTTCCTCCCTCAGATTTCCTAAATAATTAAATGCATTTACTCATTCAACTGGTGGTTTATTTTGAATTCTTGCATCTTACTAATTCTTTGCCTGCAAAAGTAATAATAATTCATACCAAATTCTAGTTGGCTTAAAGTTGACTGAAGCTAACAAGACCAAGAAATATTTACACATCATACTGCATAAACCCAGATAAATATCCCCCCCTCCATACCGACATAAACAATGAAAACAAATTCACAGGCAAATACAGAAATAACAATGCTTTCAATTGGTCAGCCTCTGGGGATGGAAAGTGCCTCAATCCAGTTCCTAAGGTGAGCTATCTGGACTGGTTTTCCATAATTTCCTCAATTTACCAATATGATTCTACTTTATAGATCATAATGTGTATGTTCACTGAATGAAATACTCAAAGATTATATGCAACTACAATACAGACGCTCACAACAGCATCTGGACATTGGCATTTGATACAACACGAAATTAAGACAGTACAAAGAAATCAGAAATACTGGATATCTTCATAAAGATAAAGCAATACTGAATGAAGTGCTTCAAACATATTGAAAAAAACCGTACATTTCCTCGTAAACTGATAAAGTATATACCCAAGGTCATCCCAGCATGACGCAAAATGAAACATGATTTGGAGTGGGTATAAGCCAACCAAAGAAGATGATTGCTGTGAAGATGTTCACTATTCCACAGATCCTGTTCAGAATGTCTATACAGGATGTTCGAAAAATAACTCCGCAATTTTAGTTACACAATATTTGTTCGCTGCTTACTCACATAGCTGGTACGTTTCGAAAATTTAGCGCAAAATCTCTCCCAGTTTTAGTGATATGAATTCTACAGAGATGGCAGCACTGCACCGCGACAAGTTGGTACTCCATGTAAGTGGGAATCATTCAGTCATGGCGTCGCGGTAGGAATAGGTGAAGTGTGTGTTGTGGTACGCGGGATCAAAGTCTGTGGTAACTGCTCAGAGAAATTTTATGCGGTTGTATCCAAAAGATGCTCCAACTGATAAGTCTATACATAAATGGTACCAACACTTCCAAAAAAAAATCCAGCATTGTCGTGAAAGGACATTCACCAGGTAGGCGAAGCACACCACAAGACGACACAGCGCATTCCGGTTCGGCACGTTAGTCATCAAATTCCAAAGAGTACGACGCATGATGTTGTGCATATGAGATTGAGAAATTACGTGCGTACAAACTGCTACTTGTGCAACACACTCAGCCTCGCGATAAGCACTAAAGGGTATACTTTGTGACGTTCATACTAGAATCTCACTGCTGATGATAGTTTATCTCCAGAAAATTCTTTTCTCCGACGAGGCCACATTCCAAACACGTCGTGTTGCAAACTGCCACAGTTTCAGGACTCGGTGCAGTGAGAATCCACATGCCCTAACGGGACATGTTAATGCTACAGAACTTTGTGTTCTCACAGATAACTGAACTTGACGGGCTCACTTTCTAACAAGATGGTGCACCACCCCACTTTGGTACCACTGTACGCACTGCTCTGGACGAGCAATTTCCTGGTCGATGGATCAGCAGAGCAGAGCCGATTTATTGGGCCCCCACGGAGTTCTTCTGGGGGTACATCAAAGCGAGAGGCTGGAGTCTCCTCCCGATTTGCGCCATAGGATTATATCAGCTATCGCTGAGGTGACTGTGTATGTGTTATCTCGGGTGTGGGGTTAAGTGAAATTTCGTTTCGACCTCTGTAGGGCCGTCAGTTGTGCTCACATTGAATTGCACTAAATGACACTAAAACGTGACGAGATTCCCTACTAATTTTTGTATAAATATTTATAACAAACTCCGGAGTTCTCTCTTGGACACCCTGTACTTAGCAGATATGAAAACTCTAAGCAGACGGCTTTCCACTCTACTATGTTACTGATATGTGGTTAATGTTGTTGGCATGTGGGCTACTTGGTTATTATATTACACTGTGTCTACTTTTGAGATTCTGTAGTGTTCAATCGCATGACATAATGGCTATGGATGATGACTTGGGAGGAAACAGTCATGGCTTACTTTAAGCTGCTATCTTGGCACTAATTTATTCAATGACATTTTACCCAACTACCAATTGGAAGTTAATGCAGAACTGTGATAAATATAAATTTATTTATAAGAGACATACTACTTGTCTATTATCAAGCATGTTTTGTGTTGCCTGTTGACTTAAATAGTATTTCTGGAGCCCTCCCGAAAGGTCTGAATAAAACAAACAAAACATTCAGACAAGATAGTTACTATCTAGGACCTGAACCCTGGACATTCCAGTTGAAGTGGGAATGATAACCACTGCATTGCAACTTTAGGTCCTTGTATTTGCCTTGAATAACTGAGTAAAATCTTTAAAAACATGTCACTTTATGTTTTCCAAGGTTTAAATGAACTGTTTTATAATTACTTTGAAGTAGAAGAGACTGACATGAATTTAGTTAAAACAGTCCACAAATTTTATAAAGCTGATGACATCACGTGGTTTTAAAATCATTCAAGATGGATGCCTTCTGAGTTATTGATTCTTGTAAATACAGGAACATAACTATTTTCTATAGGTTTTGTTCCACATTCTTCGAAAACGGTGCTTTGTTTTTAAAATCTATTATCCAAGCATTACATTTAAAATTGTATGTCTTAGTTGTGGTAGTTTTTCAAACGGTCGCTTAAGATGAAATAATGCCCTTGGAACCTTAAGCAGAAGTGCTCAAATTATTGAATACAACCTTCAGAACTGATGACAGTCTTTCCGAATGAAATGCACTGACCATAACCACCATAAATAATACACTAGTGTGGCGTACATAGAGGCCCTATTTCCATACATTCCGCCCACAAACATGCGAACATGTGCCCTGTTCTATCCCTTCCCAGAATATCCCCTTCTCTTTCTTTATATGCTGCCAGGACAGAAGCCTGTAAAAAAAGTACGTAAATCGATGGTGGAGCCAACCACTAGAACCTACAAGATCATATTCTTTACTCCTGTGATTCTGACAATCTTCCTTGTATCTCCACTAGCCAATGGGTGAGTAGATGAATAGAAGGGTTCAAAATTTGTAGGAAAACTTACGGCGACAAAACTTTTACACTGATATTTCACAGGAAAATGAGCGACAAGGCAAAACTTTAAACGGCACCTAAATCCTTGAAAACTGCAGCAGTTATTAGGTCTACATAATTATTATGGAGTTTCAAATAAGGATGACTTATATGATTTGTAGCTTTCACAGCGACGTAACTCAATAAAATCTTCTCGGGTGATCAGCTGTGTCAAATGGTTACGCAATCAAACCGACATTTCATGGACCGTCTCTGCCCCCATCATCAGGGTTCTGATGTCAGAACCCTGATGACGGGGACAGAGATGATCCCTGAAACGTCAGTTTGATTGTTTAACCATTTGACGCAGCTGGTCACTCGAGAAGATTTTATTAAGGATGACTTAGTGTATGTAATAGTTCTGGATAGAACTCATAAAGTCTACCTTCCTTCCTAGTAAAGCTGTCCCGCTACATGCCTATGCAGGCGATTGGGGGTAGTGGAGGTATAGCTCCTACTCTTTCTTGATCTCGGCACTAGATGGGGGTGAGTGGTCAGCATCACGCCCCGGCTGCACTTTAGCCCTGGGAAAGGACCACCGGTACCCACTGGATAGGAGGCTGGGTAGGCCACAGAGCTGGTCTGGACGCAGAATCTACAGGAAAATTCTCTGCCCCCGTCGGGGATTGAACCCCAGTCGTCCAGCCCATAGCTAGTCCCTATACTGACTGAACTATCCCAGCTCCCTAATTTCCTTCCTACCACCAAATATGTTGCTGGGTAATATATGTGTCTAGTATAGAAAAAAAAATTCAATGGAGCACATGAGTTCAATGTTGTAAGATCATGTGTACATGATCATACAAGTAGATTCCTTTTTATGGAACCCAAAGATTCATCACTGTTCATAAGAACCCTCCACTAGACCCCATCCTATGTTTTTACTTGTTAAATTAAGCGTAAAAAGGTAAACTTAAGGCCTGTTGTGACAAGTTTCATCAGCAGTTTGGCAACAGTGTGTAGACTATTAAATAATGTAAATTTTCTTATCTTATTGAAGCTCTGTGCACATAGAGTTGAGACTGTTAAACATTAGTAGATGTGTTATATCTTATTTTATGAAATGGAAGTCATAGACGCAAGTATTCTTCAATTTCAATCCAATTTTGAACAGCACATAACCTACAGTTCCATAAAATGTAACTTCAAGATTACATGGAAAGAATACCAATTTAAATTGTTAGACTATAAATGTTTAACAAGAATTACATAGAAAGTACATCTAAATCTTCTCCAGTAGAAAAGTGAAAATACTATTATATTTAGATGAGCCGACTCTACCCACCGTGGATCTTATGATGATCTTACTATGCAGTGAAAAATTAATACGCTCACTATTACACAGCGTGAACAACCCTGTTCAACATGTTAACACACCATCTTCTATATCAATCACTCAGAAACACGAATTTCAACAAAAGTGTAACTCCAAGTGATATCCAGCGGAAGAGAATCAGTACAAGCTTAGGAAAAGTGAAAAAGATTATCCACCAAAATCGAAATGAAAGAAGAACGTCTACTTATTTATTTTATTTGTAGTGTTCTGTCTGACGACAGGTCCATATATTATGAACAGGATCCTTCCAACCTCTTCAGGTTGTCAGGGACCTGCTCATAAATAAATACATTCTTGGCAGAGATGATCAGAAGTGGTTTGCCATTGCCTTCTTCTGTGTGTGAGTGGAGTAATTGTTGGGATGCCACGGAGAAACCGGGGAAGCCCCCGGAGGAAAACTCCGTGATGCCTAGACCACGGCCTTGCCCAACAAAAACGCTAGGATTTTAGACTACCGAATGCACTATAGTAAGTTTCATGTTTTGTGCTGCACCAAATGTTACCATAAGGAGGTTCCAGATCTAATTTTCAGCTTGGAGACTGGCTATCCTGCCTGAGGTATTGTGTGGTCTCCAGTCAAACACTAAGTTAATACCTTTAAATAGGCCACAACCATTTCACAATTCACAACCATCCTCCTGAAGATAGCTGTCTTCTAGGTTGTTGGCCCTGGGAAAGGACCACCGGTACCCACTGGATAGGAGGCTGGGTAGGCCACAGAGCTGGTCTGGACGCAGAATCTACAGGAAAATTCTCTGCCCCCGTCGGGGATCGAACCCCGGCCGTCCAGCCCGTAGCTAGTCACTATACTGACTGAGCTATC